TTCCTGAATACTTTAGAATTATGCGACAGATTGCTTGTCTGTCTCGTTTTGCGTTTTGACAAAGCTAAAATGGCCCCATACCCACGATTTTCCTGCCTTATTGGCGACAATTTCAAACTGACATGTGGCGTCCGCCATCTTGTCAATGTTGCCTAGCGACGAGTAGCTAAGGGACGTAACTCTAAATCAAGCAGACAAAGTAGTGCAATCCAAACAAAAGCACGACAGAGGTTAGATGAACATAGGAGTTGTTTCTATGTTTTTTAAGAAAGTAAATGTACCAAACAAATTAACTATCGAAACTAACGATAGGTAGACAAACTATCGCCAATAGTATCGATTGTTTCAAGTTGCAATGGATAGTGTACTATTGTGAGACAAGCGATCGCAATCCATTGATAGTTTGATGTATCGTTACACCACTAATTTTCACCACCCGGGCCAAGTCGGAACGAACGCTTCTTACAAAGATTTTCTTAAGAAAATACAGTAAAAGTGTTTGATTTTAACGGATCAGTTTTCTTTCAATGCGATGTACTGTGACATTATAAAGTGGTATATAGGTAGATATAATACTACTCTATAGATGTAAACACATTTGATGATACATCTGTGTGTTTGAAGTTGATTTTGACAGCCCGGACCAAGTCGGACCGAACACTTGTAAGACTGTTGAGAGTATGGGGAGAAGAGGTCTACTTTAACCAACGTGTCTGCTTTAAATACGATGAACAGTGACATTATTAAGTGGTATTTACTATGATTGCCCTTTTACATGTTACCTAGATCAGTGACGCTTACACACAGCTCCACTTTCTGGTTTTCAAGTGATTTACTCCGAATCACTTAATTATGGTGCACGTTCTTGGTTGATGATTGTTAATTAATGTCATGTGTGTGTGTTGCATCAATGATATGTAGGTATGGTCACCGATAATGGAGTAATTAGCCAATACAACTTTGGCCCGTCTTGGCCCGGCCCGGCCTGACCCGACTTTTAGGCAATCCCTTCTCCAATTAGTCGGATTGACAACTCAAAACGAGAAAGACGTATTACAAACGGAATTGCCGTACTTCGAACGGAATTGCCGAGTTACGACAGGGTGGAGTCAGACATAAATTTCAGTGTGTGTGCACACTGACCGGGTTGACTTCTCTTTGGAGGCATGATGTGTACAGCTCGGAGCCCTGAACTTGAATGAAGACTGACTCCAACGCGCTCGATATCCATAGGAGTCAGGCCAGGACGCGAATACACACGCACTTGGGACGAGATGAGGTCGTACTGCGAACGAGTTGGTTGGGTTAAGAATAAGTTAGAACTGGCTTGGACGTATTGTGAACGAGGTAGAACGAGGTTGAACAGGTTAAGAACGGGTTCAGAACGGCTACCGATGTCCTCAAACTGCTTCGAAACGTTGTCGAATGAGGTGAACAGGCTTTTTGAAACGATCTGAACTGGATACAAACGGACTGCAGACTGGCTAAGAACGAGATAGACATATTGAGGACTATGAATGCACAATGCCATTTAGAAAGTGGTCAATAGTAACAAATGTTATATTTGGGATAATACTTTCTTAGTCAAGTACAGATTCTCGTACTTTTTAGGGGTTGAGTCCCGTCCGGGATTCAAAGGGAGTATTGAGGACTGCTTATGAACCAACTAGCATCGTATTTTATGCCAAACTACACGTTCTACCGCGATCACAGCCCATTCTAGTATTTTGTTTAGAATGGGGTAGAACGGGATATAACTACTTTGGTGTGATGATAGCATTACCTTTCGGCTCCATAGTCTGTCCTGTTTTAAAATTGACTTTATTAGTCTTCGGATGTTAGTAAAAGAGGATAGTTAGTAACAAAAATATACGATATACAACGCATATTTGCACAACTATCACAAAACCATTCGACACTGACACCACATCAAACCCCGCGGTAGACTGGACACAGTTACGTGCTCACCGATTAGATAACCCCTCCCGACAGGGTGGGGATGGTGGTTCAAAGCGAAACAGACAACCCTGTCTTGTCTAATAAATGCTGGGCGGCACCTTTGATCTTGCCTCTAACCATGCATGAAGTAGGAGTAAACGATGATCAGGATGGCCTGGAAATAAACAAGATTCTATCTTGTTGCATATCAAGGTAGCAATTCATCGGTCACGGGGTTTTCTTATGGATATGTGCCCAGTGTATCCACAATTAACTAGCTGGAATATTTCATATCTACAAAAATGTATATGCGCCAGTGTCCATGGTTTATCAACACATGTATAATGCTTATTCACGCTTGGAGTGCCAGACTGAAATTGAACATTATGATAGCTAGCAGGGATAAAATAGGTCATAAGACGTGGCATATGAAGATCATACATAAATATGCAGCAGGCTAGATTATTTAAAGCAATTCAGTTCAAATATTGTGTTCAATAAAAGACAACGTTGATTTTTAACACACTTATTTTTGTATTAAACAAACTGTGGACTTTGAAGACATTTTCGCCTATTGTAATAACATCAAGGTAAAAATCATATCTTTCTCTGAAATCCACGGGCATAGTTGCTGTCAAACATAAGAACGTAATCAGGGTGGCCAGCTTTGACTTTTCATGTGCCTTAAAGTGAGTTTAAACATGTCAAAAGCGATTGACCCTACAATATAGGGTCATTTACTCCAACATTCTAACTGTCAATCGTCTTAACAGGACAATAATGTTTGTTATATATCGACGACCTGTCTCTATGTCGTAAGTTGTTAATTGGTAACTGCGGTCCAAATTTATCAACTTATTCATCTATTGTTGCAAACTTGACTGATTTGTTTACACAATAAAAATTCTAATTGATCATGCACTACTGAGGCAGTCAAGTACCTGAATAAGAAATATAAAAGCAGCCATGTTACATGTAGTCCCAAAAGCTGGCAATTATTTCGCCGCAATATAACTGAAAAAATGCTGATGTGACGTGACATATAAACTTACCCACAGACAATACATTTTTTCAGAGAGTGTAGCACAATTTTATCAAAGTTTTATTTACAATTTTAAAAACTATAATAATATGAATATTAAAATTCATCATCACTTTTCAAGTTTACTCAAATGTCACCAGTTTGAAGATGTCATAAATAAACAAGGATTCTAACTAAGTTTGATAGTCACAGGTTTATCCCCAATTTGCCAGCACAATGCAGAGGATTAACAGTTACTGGGAGTGAGCATGGTTTTACGCCGCTTTTAGCAGTTACTGTGTTTATACAAGCACAGAAGTCATGCCAAAATGCTCACAGTAGTTAGTGAGTAAACTCAATTGAGTATCCATCACAAACTTTGAAAGCTAACATGTGAATAAGGCACTTGCAGTGACCAATTAACACGTAATCAGTGAGATAATATAGAAATACTGGGAACGCTAAACAACTTCATTGTAAATAGACAAATACACCTGTGAATGGTCAAGGTTTTAAATACCGAGTGAAGCAAAGACGAGGTGCCAGCCTTCACTGGAAATGCTGTATGCTGCATGTCCTCCATCAACACCACCAGTGATCTTTTCGCGATTCCGAGCCTTGCGCATAACCATTGTCATGACCTGGTTGAGTGACTTCCTTCCATCAACGTGAAAGGATTACCCACAGAGAAAGAAAGGCTTAAAATCCTAAAGATATCCTATCCAAATGGTATAAGTACTCACAACCAATTTCCTCTAATAGTAAACTGTCACGTTTGGTATCCCCAACAATACTCACCATGGTCATTGGGCAAATGTAAAAATCACAAACCCTAACGAGATTCTGTCTACATGGTCACACCTGGTGATTGTGAAGATCCAAAATTCTATCAACAGTGAGACAAAATGGCTGTTCATATTCATTTCCAATATCCTCTTAGAATTAGTGATAAATGTTAAGTCCCACACAAAACTTTCTCTTAATAATTCTACAAAATACCAAACAGAAAGTGGGGTTTGGGAAAATTGGACATATTCCTACGTGAAATAATAAGACATAAGTAGTGGTGACTGTTCTATCACAATTGTATCTAAAGCATAAATTTGGCGAACGAAAAACGTTATATTTGCAGTCACCCTGAATGACTCACGTGGGCAAAACTTAAAACAAATATGTTCGCAATCCACAAACAATCACTTCATTAATGGTGAGCATTTACCAACCCGCGACAATCGTGTCAACTCGGGGATTCCCCTATCAATAAACTCACTTCTAAACTCACTACTGTTCTACTGTAGCCACAGTGGCTAGACTGGACCCTTGTGGAATGGTTCATGCCATAAAAGTCCAGCAACCGAAAACTAATTAAGACGGGCTCAAGGGGGGCACAGGTGGCCCAGTTGTCTAAGGCGCCATGATTCGCTGTGCAGAGTTGCGTCCCTTGGGCACGCCAGAAACCTATGATTGTGGGTTCGAATCCCGGTTCGCCCCGATTATGTTTCTAGGTTTGTCAGCACCATACCAGTGTTCGTGTGTTTAACCGAAGTGGTAAACGTCTGAGACCCGCATCACTTCGGGCTTTCCTCTCACATTAAGCTGACACGCCGTGATGTAACTGGAATACTGTTAAAAGCGGCGTTAAACCCAACTCACTCACTCACTCATTAACTCAAGATTCACATCTCACTGTTTTGATTTATCTCACCATCCATTTGATATATTTTCCAACTTCAATTGAAACCCGGTCCCATTTTACACGCATTGCACACGCGTGTGCAACGAGTGACTCAACCATGCTCAACGGGTTGCACAGGTGCTGCACACCCGTTGCACACGCGTGTTCAATGGGTGCTCAACATGTGTGCAACCCGTTGAGCACCCGTGTCACATGCGTGTTAGGGGAATGTACTTTTAGGCAGTAGTGTACCTGTGTTGACAATCCTGTGTTGTTGACATACCTGTATTGTTGACATACCTGTGTTGTTGACATATCTGCATTTTTGACATACCTGTGTTGTTGACATACCTGTGTTGTTGACAGGTATGGATGTGTGGGGGACAGATCTTCATCGTGACTTGTTCCCGCGTGGGTCATGTGTTCCGGAAAACGTCCCCCTACTCCTGGCCGGGCGGAGTTGCCAGGATCATCAACCACAACACCCAGCGCATCGTGGAGGTCTGGATGGACGAGTATAAAGAGTTCTTCTATAAGATAAATCCAGGTCTGTATAAGGAACTCTTTTATAAGATAAATCCAGGCCTGTATAAGGATTTCTTCTATAAGATAAATCCACATCAGTATAAGGAATTCTTCTATAAGATAAATCCACATCAGTATAAAGAGTTCTTTTATAAGATAAATCAAGGGCAGTACAAAGAAATCTTCTATAAGATAAATCCACATCAGTATAAGGAATTCTTCTATTAGATAAATCCAGATCTGTATAAAGAGTTGTTTTATAAGATAAATCCAGGTCAGTACAAGGAAATCTTCTATAAGATAAATCCACATCAGTATAAGGAGTTCTTCTATAAGATAAATCCAGGTCAGTATAAGGAGTTCTTCTATAAGATAAATCCTGGTCAGTACAAGGAACTCTTCTATAAGATAAATCCAGGTCAGTACAAGGAGTTCTTCTATAAGATAAATCCTGGTCTGTATAAGGAGTTCTTCTATAAGATAAATCCAGGTCTGTATAAAGAGTTCTTCTATAAGATAAATCCAGGTCTGTATAAAGAGTTCTTCTATAAGATAAATCAAGGTCAGTACAAGAAACTCTTCTATAAGATAAATCCAGGTCTGTATTAGGAGCTCTTCTATAAGATAAATCCAGGTCAGTACAAGGAGTTCTTCTATAAGATAAATCCAGGTCAGTAGAAGGAGCTCTTCTATTAGATAAATCCAGGTCAGTTAAGGAGTTCTTCTATAAGATTAATCCAGGCCTGTATAAAGAGTTTTTCTATAAGATAAATCCAGGTCTGAACAAGGAACTCTTCTATTAGATAAATCTAGGTCAGTATAAGGAGTTTTTCTATAAGATAAATCCAGGTCTGTATAAAGAGTTCTTCTATAAGATAAATCCAGGTCTGTATAAAGAGTTCTTCTATAAGATAAATCCTAGCTCACCCAAGCTAGATATACAGTTACAATTATTCTACATTTATTATCCCCCGCCACGAAGTGAGAGGGGGGATATAGGAATGGGTGCCGTCCGTCCGTCACATTTCGTTTCCGGAGCAGATCTTGAAAACCGTACCATATTTCTTCACCAAACTTGGCACATAGATAGATCTAGTGGTAAACTGGTGCCTTTTGATAGTTTGGGATTTAAAAAAAAATTATTTTTTGAGTTTCAATGGCACCGACTTTGATTTAGACTGAAAATGGCAGTAGTCCTCGTTTCCAGAGCAGATCTTGAAAACCGCACCATATTTCTTCACCAAACATGGCACATAGATAGGTCTAGTGGTAAACTGGTGCCTTTTGATAGTTTGGGATTTAATTTTTTTTATTTTTTGAGTTTCTATGGCACCGACTTTGATTTAGACTGAAAAATTGCGGTAGTCCTCGTTTCCGCGGCAGATCTTGAAAACTGTACCATATTTCTTCACCAAACTTGGCACATAGTTAGATCTAGTGGTGAACTGGTGCCTTTTGATAGTTTGAGATTTAAAAAAAAGTTATTTTTTCGAGTTTCCATGGCACCGACTTTGATTTAGACTGAAAATGGAGGAAGTCCTTGTTTCCGGAGCAGATCTTGAAAACCGTACCATATTTCTTCACCAAACTTGGCACATAGAAAGATCTAGTGGTGAACTGGTGCCTTTTGAAAGTTTGGGATTTTTAAAAAAATATATTTTTTGAGTTTCCATGGCAACAACTTTGATTTAGACTGAAAATGGCGGTAGTCCTCGTTTCCAGAGCAGATCTTGAAAACTGTACCATTTTTCTTCACAATATTTGGCACATTGATAGGTCTAGTGGTGAACTGGTGCCCTTGGATAGTTTTGGATTTTTTTTAAAAGTTATTTTTCGAGTTTCCATGGCAACGACTTTGATTTAGACTGAAAATGGAGGTAGTCCTCGTTTCTGGAGCAGATCTTGAAAAACGTACTATATTTCTTTACAAAAAGGCCCAGTGAACATAGTTCACAGGAGCTAATGCATTGCACACACCTGACGTGTCATAGTGGCAGGGGGATGTGAGTATTTCATGCTTGTTATACTTTAGCTCACCCTAGCTAGACATACAGATACAATTATTCTACAGTTATTCTACTTTAGCTCACCCTAGCTAGACATACAGTTACAATTATTCTACTGTTATTCTACTGTAGCTCACCCTAGCTAGATATACAGTTACAATTACTCTACAGTTATTCTACTTAGCCCACCCTAGCTAGATGTACAGTTACAATTATTCAACCGTTATTCTACTTTAGCTCACCCTAGCTAGATATACAGTTACAATTATTCCACAGTTATTCTGCTTTAGCTCACCCTAGCTAGATAAACGTTTCAATTATTCTAGTTATTCTACTTTAGCTCACCCTAGCTAGATAAACAGTTACAATTATTCTACAGTTATTCTACTTTAGCTCACTCTAGCTAGACATACAGTTACAATTATTCTACCGTTATTCTACTTAGCTCACCCTAGCTAGATATACAGTTACAATTATTCAACCGTTATTCTACTTTAGCTCACCCTAGCTAGATATACAGTTACAATTATTCCACAGTTATTCTGCTTTAGCTCACCCTAGCTAGATAAACGTTTCAATTATTCTAGTTATTCTACTTTAGCTCACCCTAGCTAGATAAACAGTTACAATTATTCTACAGTTATTCTACTTTAGCTCACTCTAGCTAGACATACAGTTACAATTATTCTACCGTTATTCTACTTAGCTCACCCTAGCTAGATGTACAGTTACAATTATTCTACAGTTATTCTACTTTAGCTCACCCTAGCTAGATGTACAGTTACAATTATTCAACTGTTATTCTACTTTAGCTCACCCTAGCTAGATATACAGTTACAATTATTCCACAGTTATTCTACTTTAGCTCACCCTAGCTAGATATTCGTTTCAATTATTCTACAGTTATTCTACTTTAGCTCACCCTAGCTAGATAAACAGTTACAATTATTCTACAGTTATTCTACTTTAGCTCACTCTAGCTAGACATACAGTTACAATTATTCTACAGTTATTCTACTTTAGCTCACCCTAGCTAGATAAACAGTTACAATTATTCTACAGTTATTCTACTTTAGCTCACTCTAGCTAGATAAACAGTTACAATTATTCTACAGTTATTCTACTTAAGCTCACCCTAGCTAGATATACGTTTCAATTATTCTACAGTTATTCTACTTTAGCTCACCCTAGCTAGATATACAGTTACAATTATTCCACAGTTATTCTACTTTAGCTCACCCTAGCTAGACATACAGTTACAATTATTCTACCGTTATTCTGGGGGCGGTCGGGTAGCCTAGTGGTTAAAGCGTTCGCTCGTCACGCCGAAGACCCGGGTTTGATTCCCGACATGGGTACAATGTGTGAAGCCCATTTCTGGTGTCCCCCGCCGTGATATTGCTGGAATATTGCTTAAAGCGGCGTAAAACCAAACTCACTCACTCACTCACTACCGTTATTCTACTTTAGCTCACCCTAGCTAGATATAGTTACAATTATTCTACTTTAGCTCACCCTAGCTAGACATACAGTTACAATTATTCTACCGTTATTCTACTTTAGCTCACCCTAGCTAGACATACAGTTACAATTATTCTACCGTTATTCTACTTTAGCTCACCCTAGCTAGATATACAGTTACAATTATTCTACCGTTATTCTACTTTAGCTCACCCTAGCTAGATATACAGTTACAATTATTCTACCGTTATTCTGCTTTAGCTCACTCTAGCTAGATAAACAGTTACATTTATTCTACTGTTATTCTACTTTAGCTCACCCTTGCTAGATATACAGTTACAATTATTCTACTGTTATTCTACTGTAGCTCACCCTAGCTAGATGTACAGTTACAATTATTCTTCAGTTATTCTACATTAGCTAACCCGGGGTTTGGTGGTTTAGGTGTGAAGAGCACGGACTATGGGGACATCTCCGAGCGACAGGAACTGAGGAAGAGGATGAAGTGTCACAGTTTCCGCTGGTACCTGGAAAACATCTACCCAGAGTCCCAGATGCCCATTGATTTCTACTCCCTTGGTGAGGTAAGTGTCTACTCCCTTGGTGAGGTAAGTGTCTACTCCCTTGGTGAGGTAAGTGTCTACTCCCTTGGTGAGGTAAGTGTCTACTCCCTTGGTGAGGTAAGTGTCTACTCCCTTGGTGAGGTAAGTGTCTACTCCCTTGGTTAGGTAAGTGTCTACTCCCTTGGTGAGGTAAGTGTCTACTCCATGGACAAGATTGGACTCCTCATAGGTTTAGGTTCAGAGACCATACCTGACTAGTACCCTTTTATTTTGTGATAAATGATGCAAAAAATCACGTCTTACACTTAGGATTACAAATTCTGTGCGTATGAAAACTATTTGCTATGGATTTTATGCTTTATCGTCAAGACTTTGAGTCAGACTAACCAAAAGAAATGACTTCACTTGTCACTTATTTGTTTGTTGCCACCATTTCTCAGTTACTGTTTTAACGGAAAAGGTGTCAATTAACTAATGTCAGTTCATTACGTATTTATAGATCCAGTGTGCACAGTAGTTGTGAAATGTTCTCTTGCCATGCACAATCCGTGTTATCCGTGCCAATAGAAGGTGTATTTCATGTCTGCCATTCAGCGATTCCATACCGTGTCCATGGACAAGATTGGCCTCCACACTCGCAGTTGCTGGTCCACTCTCTGTTAGAGTCACAGCCAGTGTTGCATCTTCTTGTGTTTCAGATTCGAAACAAGGAAACCAGCTCATGTATTGACACAATGGGCCGGAAGAGTGGCGAGAAGGTTGGCATGGTGACATGTCATGGCATGGGAGGCAATCAGGTACTTTGTCTTTATCATTGGAGGAAATCTGTGAACAGTTTTGACTATCTTCATTTTCATGTTTTATCCCATATCACGACCCCTAACACATCTCTCCACCTCCATCACAGCCCCTAACACACCTCTCCACCTCCTCCCAGATCACTGCCCCTAACAAATCTCTCCACCTCCATCGCAGCCACTAACACATCTCTCCACCTCCATCACAGCCCCTAACACACCTCTCCACCTCCTCCCAGATTACTGCCCCTAACAAATCTCTCCACCTCCATCACAGCCACTAACACAACTCTCCACCTCCATCACAGCCCCTAACACATCTCTCCACCTCCTCCCATATCACAGCCACTAACACATCTCTCCACCTCCATCACAGCCCCTAACACACCTCTTCACCTCCTCCCAGATCACTGCCCCTAACAAATCTCTCCACCTCCATCACAGCCACTTACACAACTCTCCACCTCCATCACAGCCCCTAACACATCTCTCCACCTCCATCACAGCCACTAACACATCTCTCCACCTCCTCCCATATCACAGCCACTAACACATCTCTCCACCTCCATCACAGCCACTAACACATCTCTCCACCTCCTCCCATATCACAGCCACTAACACATCTCTCCACCTCCTCCCAGATCACAGCCACTAACACATCTCTCCACCTCCTCCCAGATCACAGCCACTAACACAACTCTCCACCTCCATCACAGCCCCTAACACATCTCTCCACCTCCATCACAGCCACTAACTCATCTCTCCACCTCCATCACAGCCACTAACTCATCTCTCCACCTCCATCACAGCCACTAACACATCTCTCCACCTCCATCACAGCCACTAACTCATCTCTCCACCTCCATCACAGCCACTAACACATCTCTCCACCTCCATCACAGCCACTAACACATCTCTCCACCTCCATCACAGCCACTAACACATCTCTCCACCTCCATCACAGCCACTAACTCATCTCTCCACCTCCATCACAGCCACTAACAAATCTCTCCACCTCCTCCCATGTCACAGCCACTAACACATCTCTCCACCTCCATCACAGCCACTAACACATCTCTCCACCTCCATCACAGCCACTAACACATCTCTCCACCTTCTCCCATGTCACAGCCACTAACACATCTCTCCACCTCCATCACAGCCACTAACACATCTCTCCACCTCCATCACAGCCACTAACACATCTCTCCATCTACATCACAGCCACTAACACATCTCTCCACCTCCATCACAGCCACTAACACATCTCTCCACCTCCATCACAGCCACTAACACATCTCTCCACCTCCATCACAGCCACTAACACATCTCTCCACCTCCTCCCATATCACAGCCCCTAACACAACTCTCCACCTCCTCCCAGATCACGACCCCTAACACAACTTCCCACCTCCGTCCTCCTGTCCAGAATATGTTAGCCGTTAAACATTGCTCTGTTTATAGAGAGTGTAAGTTTCCGTGCACAATATTCTGTTATGACATATAGTTAGTTTTACCTTTTCCTTTCTTGCAGAAGGTTGTGTGCTCTGCTATCAAGTTTACTTATTTGTTTAAATTACTTGCTTGCATGGATCATTAAAGAAACGGATGAACTCTCTTGTCACTTATGAACAGCAGAGTTGTCATGTTCATTGGTTCAGAGGCTGCACATATCCTACTCAAAGTTTGCTAAGGTTCACCACTTTAAAAGGTGATGTGTCAATTTGTATGCATCTGTTGAAATAGCCAAAGACAGTATTGCATGAAGACAAGTTTTATGAACAAAGGTCTGTTGTCATGTGCCACATAATGCCAACAAACAAAATGCATCCAAAATGAGGCTATCTGACCAAAGTGGAAACATAAAAAAATCACAAAAACAAATTCATTGTCGAAAACAACACCTCTCAGTAGCGTGTACCGTATGTGATCCACGTGGTGCGATCAAAGCCTGGTCTCATCTCATGCTCCCAGTAATGTTACCAAGGGAACATTGTTCAACTCTTCAGTCGGAGCATTGCCGAGTTCCTGTTGAGTTGCCCAAATGGAGGACAGGGTGTCGTGAGACGGCAATCTGCACCTTGTTGCACATGTTAGATAGGGTGGAGGTTTGGATCATCAAAACTTGATCTTTAGCAAACTTTGAGTGGCATAGTTCAAGTGGATCACTCATGTGATATGCTAGTTTGTATTTTTGTAGCCCCGACCTAAAAGGGCAGGGTTATATAGTTATACCAAGGAATTTCGTCCATCCGTCCATCCTTCCGAGGACATTTTTTTGTGCAACCTGTTACTTGAAAACTTTTTAGTAGATTCTTTTCAAACTTGATGAACTCTTTCTATTCCATTAGGAGAGGTGCACCGCGATGTTTGATTTCAATATTTAGATTTTCTGAAAAAATACAGCTATTTTTCATTTTTTTACTTGAATGTTTTACTTCAACATTGCGACCTATAACTTGAAAACTACTTCATAGATTCAATTTGAGGTACAGTTTCTATACCAATAGGAGCAGTGCAGTGCAAAGTTTGATTTTATTAACTGGATTTTCTGAGAAATTTTTTTTAATGTTTTGAACTTGGAAATACTTTCATACCCCTTTCATATTTATTTTTATTGTTTTATGTTTCCATGGAAACAAAGATTGATTAATGCCGTTGAGATTGAAGACCCAATTTCTGAAGCTTGATTTCAAAGACATGAAGAGTTGAAGGGATTGGAGCAGTGGAGGAGAGATGTAGGACTTGTGATTTTAGGGATTGCTTTTATTGAGGATTCCTGTAATGTCAAACCTTTCAATAACTTTGATTTCAACACACAAAATCTCTGAAGCTGAAAGTTTGAATGGATAAATACAACCAATAGAATAGATACACCCAATATAATAGATACAACCAATAGAATAGATACAACCAGTAGAATAGATGCAACCAGTAGAATAGATACAACCAGTAGAATAGATACAATGAGTAGAATAATAAATACAACCAGTAGAATAGATACACCCAATATAATAGATACAACCAATAGAATAGATACAACCAGTAGAATAGATACAACCAGTAGAATAGATGCAACCAGTAGAATAGATGCAACCAGTAGAATAGATACAACCAGTAGAATAAAAAATACAACCAGTAGAATAGATACGCCCAATAGAATAGATATACCCAATATAATAGATACAACCAAAAGAATAGATACAACCAGTAGAATAGATACACCCAATAGAATAGATATACCCAATATAATAGATACAACCAAAAGAATAGATACAACCAGTAGAATAGATACACCCAATAGAATAAATACACCCAATATAATAGATATACCCAATATAATAGATACAACCAAAAGAATAGATACAACCAATATAATAGATATACCCAATAGAATAGATACAGCCAAAAGAATACATACCACCAATAGAATAGATACACCCAATATAATAGATACAGCCAAAAGAATACATACCACCAATAGAATAGATACAACCAATAGAATAGATACAACCAGTAGAATAGATACAACCAGTAGAATAGATGCAACCAGTAGAATAGATGCAACCAGTAGAATAGATACAACCAGTAGAATAAAAAATACAACCAGTAGAATAGATACGCCCAATAGAATAGATATACCCAATATAATAGATACAACCAAAAGAATAGATACAACCAGTAGAATAGATACACCCAATAGAATAGATACACCCAATAGAATAGATACACCCAATAGAATAAATACACCCAATAGAATAGATACAACCAATAGAATAGATACAACCAGTAGAATAGATACCACCAATAGAATGGATACAACCAATAGAATAGATACAACCAAAAGAATAGATACCACCAATAGAATGAATACACCCAATAGAATAGATACAACCAGTAGAATAGATACCACCAATATAATGGATACAACCAATAGAATAGATAAAACCAAAAGAATACATACCACCAATAGAATAAATACACCCAATAGAATAGATACCACCAATAGAATAAATACCACCATAGAATAGATACACCCAATATAATAGATACACCCAATATAATAGATACACCCATAGAATAGATACAACCAGTAGAATAGATACCACCAATAGAATAAATACACCCAATATAATAGATACAACCAATAGAATAGATACAACCAGTAGAATAGATACAACCAGTAGAATAGATACGCCCAATATAATAGATACAACCAGTAGAATAAATACCACCAAAAGGATAAATACCACTAATTGGATAAATACAACCAATAGAATGAATACAACCCATTGGATAAATACAACCAATAGAATAGAATCCCAATCTCTGTCTCGGCGCGGACTTCATGGCAGCCCTATTGAGCCTATATTTTGTTTTATTATAACTTTTTATCAAACAGTTTTCACTCCATCATGATCTTGATCCAGATTCTGATGTCAGCATGGAATGTATTGGACAAATTGTTAAGTGTTAAAGGCTGTCATCCCCACGAGATTTTATACATTGGATGAGGGAGCAGCATGACTGTCTTGAGCATTAGATTTCAGATAGCTAATCAAAAACCAGAAGTGTTATCACATATGTTCACGGAAAAGCCCGGTGATCTTAAAAGCCAATCACAATGATTTGGGGGTAAAATTATCTTATCGTAATTCAGTCATTGTTGGGTATTTTGACCAGCATGAACAGTTTAGACAGCTGATCCTTGACCTGTGTGATGTGAGATTACAAAATGTCTTAGCCAGGTGAGCTAAAGTGCCAATGACCATGACTTGGTGGCAGAAATAGGTTTTTGTGAGTATTAAAGGCATGCATTGACAAACATCCAGGACCCACTTGCACTGAGGATTTAGCACCAATACAATTGTAGCTCATAATAGGCACCCCAGGGGATGCCAGGTAAGATTTATCCCTGTGCTGGTCATAAGAGGTGACCAAATGGATCAGTTGGTCATGTTCACTGACTTTGTTGATTGCCTGTAATTGTACGTACCCCTTGGCGTGGATCGCTGCTAACAATATCGACCACTGGATCGTCTGGTCCAGGCTCAGTTATATACAGGATGCCGCCATGGCTGGAATATTGCTGTTTTTGATGTTAAACAACAAACAAACTACTTGCAACAGTTGTACTGCTAACATTGTTATGTGCAATTGGCCTTCAGGCAAACAAACCCATCCTGAAGCTTCGACTGTCACAAGTAAACGTAAGGGAGTTGAGGCTATGTGGTCCACGACTGTTTGTGGCTGTGTGGATCGAGTCCCTGGTCCACAACTGTTTGTGGCTGTGTGGATCGAGTCCCTAGTCCATGACTGTTTGTGTGTGTATTGATCGGGTCCCTGGTCCATGACTGTTTGTGGCTGTGTGGATTGAGTCCCTGGTCCACAACTGTTTGTGGCTGTGTGGATCTAGTCCCTGGCCCATGACTGTTTGTGGCTGTGTGGATCGGGTCCCTGGTCCATGACTGTTTGTTGCTGTGTGGATCGAGTCCCTGGTCCATGACTGTAGCTGTGTGGATCGGGTCCCTGGTCCATGACTGTTTGTGGCTGTGTTGAATCGTGTCGACAACTGTTTGTGGCTGTGTGGATCGAGTCCCTGGTCCATGACTGTTTGTGGCTGTGTGGATCTAGTCCCTGGTCCATGACTGTTTGTGTCTGTGTGGATCGGGTCCCTGGTCCATGACTGTTTGTGGCTGTGTGGATCTAGTCCCTGGTCCATGACTGTTTGTGTCTGTGTGGATCGGGTCCCTGGTCCATGACTGTTTGTGGCTGTGTGGATCTGGTCCCTGGTCCATGACTGTTTGTGTCTGTGTGGATCGGGTCCCTGGTCCATGACTGTTTGTTGCTGTGTGGATCGGGTCCCTGGTCCATGACTGTTTGTGGCTGTGTGGATCTAGTCCCTGGTCCATGACTGTTTGTGTCTGTGTGGATCGGGTCCCTGGTCCATGACTGTTTGTTGCTGTGTGGATCGAGTCCCTGGTCCATGACTGTTTGTGGCTGTGTGGATCGGGTCCCTGGTCCATGACTGTTTGTGGCTGTGTGGATCTGGTCCCTGGTCCATGTTTCATGAAGAAGGCTGTGTGGATCTGGTCCCTGGTCCATGACTGTTTGTGGCTGTGTGGATTGAGTCCCTGGCCCATGACTGTTTGTGGCTGTGTGGATCTGGTCCCTGGTCCATGACTGTTTGTGGCTGTGTGGATTGAGTCCCTGGTCCATGACTGTTTGTGGCTGTGTGGATCTGGTCCCTGGTCCATGACTGTTTGTGGCTGTGTGGATTGAGTCCCTGGTCCATGACTGTTTGTGGCTGTGTGGATTGAGTCCCTGGTCCATGACTGTTTGTGGCTGTGTGGATTGAGTCCCTGGTCCATGACTGTTTGTGGCTGTGTGGATCTAGTCCCTGGTCCACGACTGTTTGTGGCTGTGTGGATCAAGTCCCTGGTCCACGACTGTTTGTGGCTGTGTGGATTGGGTCCCTGGTCCATGACTCTTTATTGCTTCGTGGATCGGGTCGACGACTGTTTGTGGCCGAGTGGATTGGGCCCACTACTGTTTGTTGCTGTGTGGAATCGGGTCGACGACTGTTTGTGGCTGTGTTGAATCGTGTCGACAACTGTTTGTGGCTGTGTGGATCTGGTCCCTGGTCCATGACTGTTTGTGGCTGTGTGGATTGAGTCCCTGGTCCATGACTGTTTGTGGCTGTGTGGATTGAGTCCCTGGTCCATGACTGTTTGTGGCTGTGTGGATCTGGTCCCTGGTCCATGACTGTTTGTGGCTGTGTTGAATCGTGTCGACAACTGTTTGTGGCTGTGTGGATCGGGTCCCTGGTCCATGACTTTTTATGGCTGTGTGGATCTAGTCCCTGCTCCACGACTGTTTGTGGCTGTGTGGATCGGGTCCCTGTTCCATGACTGTTTGTGGCTGTGTGGATCTGGTCCCTGGTCCATGTTTCATGAAGAAGGCTGTGTGGATCAGGTCCCTGGTCCATGTTTCATGAAGAAGGCTGTATCATGTGCTAACATCATTCTGTTCCAGGTGTTTTCTTATACCAAAAAGAAAGCTCTCCAGACGGATGACCTGTGTTTGGATGTCTCCTCGGTGACCGGCCCTGTCAAACTATTTCAGTGCCACGGGCTGGGGGGCAACCAAAAGTGGGAATATGATTTAGAGGTATTGTTACTGCTTGCATCGCTCCGTAGTCTGCAGAATGCGTCCATATGAATGTCTGCGAGGGAAATCCTATATATGTAAAGGGAGGCAACTCTGTCGGGGAATGTTTTGATTTGTCAGTCTGGTATGTTTCGATCACAGAGCAACACCAGTAATCGGTGACTCCTGTTTGTGTCAGTAATCATTCATATGATGCATTCTGCTGACTCTACGTGTACCGAGATGCACAATGGGCAAACAACTCTGTTACTGTTTCTGACTAACAGTACTGTCATTTACTGCTGTTAATCAAATTTAGGTACATATAGGTATGTTCAGTCATTATGGTGAATCCTGACAAGGTATTGGTGGTCTGGGATGTGATGGAGTTGTCTGCCCCTGTCTGTGTCTCACTGCATGCGGCTACAACGGGTGTTGTTTCTAACCATTCTGTTCCTTTCAGCTGGACGAGGGCGCTGCCTCCTGTGTGATGCACTTGCATGACCTGTATGGCTGTATGTCTCATTGTCAGTAAATGTTTGTTTTTGATGACCGACTAGGTGTTTGCTTATACGAAGAAGAAACTCATTATGACGGATGAGAATATGTGTGTCCAGGCGCACGGCTCATCTGCTGTGTATTTTGCACGATGCGATGCTGACAACGTCCATTGGGAATATAGTCAACAGGTAGTACAGTATGTTTGAGTTATTAGTAGTTGGAAGTGTATAGCTGACCACACCCAGACTAAAGGTAGTGCCACATATATATGCAAGGTATGGATAGTTTGCAGTGCACACACTCAAGCAGTGAGTTCAAAGGCAGCACTAGATAGTTGGAAGTTTAGGAAGAGCTACTGTAGGTCACTAAGAGCACTGGATAGTTGAGGTCACAAAGAACACTGGATAGTTGAGGTCACTAAGAGCACTGGATAGTTGAGGTCACTAAGAACACTGGATAGTTGAGGTCACTAAGAACACTGGATAGTTGAGGTCACTAAGAGCACTAGATAGTTGGTCACTAAGAGCACTGGATAGTTGAGGTCACTAAGTGCACTGGATAGTTGAGGTCACTAAGAGCACTAGAAAGTTGAGGTCAATAAGTGCACTGGATAGTTGAGGTCACTAAGAGCACTGGATAGTTGAAGTATTGGTAGAACCGCTGTAGGTCACTGAGAGCATTGGATGGTTGAAGTGTAGGTAGAACCGCTGTAAGTCAACAAGAGCTCTGGATGGTTACGTGTTGGTAGAACCGCTGTAGATCACTAAGAGCACTGGATGGTTGAAGTGTTGGTAGAACCGCTGTAGGTCACTAAGAGCTCTGGATGGTTGAAGTGTTGATAGAACTGCTATAAGTCACTAAGAGCACTGGATGGTTGAAGTGTTGGTAGAACTGCTGTAGGTCACTGAGAGCACTGGATGGTTGAAGTGTTGATAGAACTGTCTTAGGTCACTAAGAGCATTGGATGGTTGAAGTGTTGATAGGACTGCTATAAGTCACTAAGAGCACTGGATGGTTGAAGTGTTGGTAGAACTGCTGTAGGTCACTAAGAGCACTGGATGGTTGAAGTGTTGATAGAACTGCTATAAGTCACTAAGAGCTCTGGATGGTTGAAGTGATGGTAGAACTGCTGTAGGTCACTAAGAGCACTGGATGGTTGAAGTGTTGATAGAACTGTCTTAGGTCACTAAGAGCATTGGATGGTTGAAGTGTTGATAGGACTGCTATAAGTCACTAAGAGCACTGGATGGTTGAAGTGTTGGTAGAACTGCTGTAGGTCACTAAGAGCACTGGATGGTTGAAGTGTTGATAGAACTGCTATAAGTCACTAAGAGCTCTGGATGGTTGAAGTGATGGTAGAACTGCTGTAGGTCACTAAGAGCACTGGATGGTTGAAGTGTTGATAGAACTGCTATAAGTCACTAAGAGCATTGGATGGTTGAAGTGTTGGTAGAACCGCTGTAGGTCACTGAGAGCATTGGATGGTTGAAGTGTAGGTAGAACCGCTGTAAGTCAACAAGAGCTCTGGATGGTTACGTGTTGGTAGAACCGCTGTAGATCACTAAGAGCACTGGATGGTTGAAGTGTTGGTAGAACCGCTGTAGGTCACTAAGAGCTCTGGATGGTTGAAGTGTTGATAGAACTGCTATAAGTCACTAAGAGCACTGGATGGTTGAAGTGTTGGTAGAACAGCTGTAGGTCACTGAGAGCATTGGATGGTTGAAGTGTTGGTAGAACCGCTGTAAGTCACTAAGAGCATTGGATGGTTGAAGTGTTGATAGAACTGCTATAAGTCACTAAGAGCACTGGATGGTTGAAGTGTTGGTAGAACTGCTGTAGGTCACTAAGAGCACTGGATGGTTGAAGTGTTGATAGAACTGTCTTAGGTCACTAAGAGCATTGGATGGTTGAAGTGTTGATAGGACTGCTATAAGTCACTAAGAGCACTGGATGGTTGAAGTGTTGGTAGAACTGCTGTAGGTCACTAAGAGCACTGGATGGTTGAAGTGTTGATAGAACTGCTGTAGGTCACTAAGAGCACTGGATGGTTGAAGTGTTGATAGAACTGCTATAAGTCACTAAGAGCACTGGATGGTTGAAGTGATGGTAGAACTGCTGTAAGTCAACAAGAGCTCTGGATGGTTACGTGTTGGTAGAACCGCTGTAGATCACTAAGAGCACTGGATGGTTGAAGTGTTGGTAGAACCGCTGTAGGTCACTAAGAGCTCTGGATGGTTGAAGTGTTGATAGAACTGCTATAAGTCACTAAGAGCACTGGATGGTTGAAGTGTTGGTAGAACAGCTGTAGGTCACTGAGAGCATTGGATGGTTGAAGTGTTGGTAGAACCGCTGTAAGTCACTAAGAGCATTGGATGGTTGAAGTGTTGATAGAACTGCTATAAGTCACTAAGAGCACTGGATGGTTGAAGTGTTGGTAGAACTGCTGTAGGTCACTAAGAGCACTGGATGGTTGAAGTGTTGATAGAACTGTCTTAGGTCACTAAGAGCATTGGATGGTTGAAGTGTTGATAGGACTGCTATAAGTCACTAAGAGCACTGGATGGTTGAAGTGTTGGTAGAACTGCTGTAGGTCACTAAGAGCACTGGATGGTTGAAGTGTTGATAGAACTGCTGTAGGTCACTAAGAGCACTGGATGGTTGAAGTGTTGATAGAACTGCTATAAGTCACTAAGAGCACTGGATGGTTGAAGTGATGGTAGAACTGCTGTAAGTCACTAAGAGCACTGGATGGTTCAAGTGATGGTAGAACTGCTGTAGGTCACTAAGAGCATAGGATCATTGAAGTATTAGCATTAGCATGAAGACTTGCTAAAGTATAGCAGTTGAACAGTATTGGTAGTTGAACAGTATCGGTAGTTGAACAGTATTGGTAGTTGAACAGTATTGGTAGTTGAACAGTATCGGTAGTTGAACAGTATTGGTAGTTGAACAGTATTGGTAGTTGAACAGTATCGGTAGTTGAACAGTATCGGTAGTTGAACAGTATCGGTAGTTGAACAGTATTGGTAGTTGAACAGTATCGGTAGTTGAACAGTATCGGTAGTTGAACAGTATTGGTAGTTGAACAGTATCGGTAGTTGAACAGTATCGGTAGTTGAACAGTATTGGTAGTTAAACAGTATCGGTAGTTGAACAGTATCGGTAGTTGAACAGTATTGGTTGTTGACAGTATTAGTAGTTGAACAATATTGGTAGAACCGCTGTAAGTCACTAAGCGCACTGGATAGTTGAGGTCTCTTAGGAGCACTGGAGAGTTGAAGTGTTGGTAGAACTGCTGTAAGTCACAAAGCGCTCTGGATGGTTAGGATGTTGGTGGTTTACATTTAATGCAACTTAGGTCACAGACAGTACTAGATCGTTGAAGTATAAGCATTAGCATTCTAAAGTATTGGTTGTTGACAGTATTGGTAGTTGAACAGTATTGGTAGTTGACAGTATATGTAGTTGACAGTCTTGGTAGTTGACAGTATCAGTAGTTGACAGTATCGGTAGTTGACAGTATCGGTAGTTGACAGTAGGGATAGTTGACAGTAGGGATAGTTGACAGTCTTGGTAGTTGACAGTCTTGGTAGTTGGACAGTATTGGTAGTTGACAGTATTGGTAGTTGACAGTATCGGTAGTTGACAGTATTGGTAGTTGACAGTATCGGTAGTTGACAGTATCAGTAGTTGACAGTAAGGGTAGGTGACAGTATCGGTAGTTGACAGTATTGGTAGTTGACAGTAATGGTACTAGGCAGTAATGGTACTAGGCACCAGGAGTCAGGAAGAAGTCTGACATAGACAGGAACATTTGCTAGAAAAGATAATACTTTTGAAAGAAAACTTATTGATAAATGTTCAATACTTTAAGTGTAAGATTTTCTGTTGTACTTCTTGCACACTTCAAATAAAAAGCACTGTACCGTGTTATTGTGAATGGATGGATGTGTTTGTGTAGATCTGTCTAAATAATGTAATTACCATACCTCGCAGACACTGACGCTGAGACACGTCAACACTGGGCTGTGTCTAGGAAAACCAGCAGTCCATGACTCAGGGACACCATCACTGGGTACGTAGGCACCAGGTGTTGGTCAGTAGACACCAGCTGTCTGTCAGTAGACACCAGGGGTCAGTTAGTAGACACCAGGGGTCAGTCAGTAGGCTCCAGGGGTCAGTCATTAGACACATAGTGTCAGTCAATAGACAGCAGGAAGTAGACACAAGGGTTTTTTCTCTAGACACCAGTTGTCAGTCAGTAGACACATGGTGTCAGTCAGTAGTCACCACGTAGTAGACACAAGAGGTTATTCTCTAGACACAAGTTGTCAGTCAGTAGGCACCAGGGGTCAGTCAGTAGACACATGGTACCAGTCAGTAGACAGCAGGAAGTAGACACAAGGGGTTATTCAGTAACACTAGGGGTCAGTCATTAGACACATAGTGTCAGTCAGTAGACAGCAGGAAGTAGACACAAGGGGTTATTCAGTAACACTAGGGGTCAGTCAGTAGACACCACGAAGTAGACACAATGGGTCAGTCATTAGACACCAGTTGTCATTCAGTAGACACAAGGGGTCAGTCATTAGACACATAGTGTCAGTCAGTAGACAGCAGGAAGTAGACACAAGGGGTCATTCCGAAACACCTGGGGTCAGTCAGGTGACGCAATGGGTCAGTCAGTAGACACCAGCTGTCTGTCAGTATACACCAGTGGTCAGTCAATAACGCCATGGGTCAGTCAGGAGACACCAGGGGTCAGTCAATAACACGATGGGTCAGTCAGTAGACACCAGGGGTCAGTCAGTAACACCAGGGGTCAGTCATTAGACACATGGTGTCAGTCAGTAGACAGCAGGAAGTAGAAACAAGGGGTCATTCAGTAGACACCAGGGGTCAGTCAGTAGACACATGGTGTCTGGCAGTAGACATCAGGAAGTAGACACAAGGGGTCATTCACTAGACACCAGGGGTCAGTCAGTAGACACCAGGGGTCAGTCAGTAGATATTAGGAAGTAGACACAAGGGGTCATTCACTAGACACCAGGGGTCAGTCAGTAGGCACCAGGGGTCAGTCAGTAGACACAAGGGGTGAGTCAGTAGGCATCAGATGTGAGTAAGAGGGGCACCAGGTGTCAGTCAGAAGGCACCAGCTGTCAGTCAGTAGACACCAGGTGTCAGTCAGTAGACACAAGGGATCAGTCAGTAGACACAAGGGGTCAGTCAGTAGTCATCAGATGTGAGTTAGTAGGCACCGGGTGTCAGTCAGTAGGCACCAGGTGTCGGCAAGTAGGCACAAAATGTCAGTCAGTAGACACCAGGTGTTAGTGAGTAGACACCAGGTGTCAGTCAGTAGGCACCAAATGTCAGTCAGTAGGCACCAAATGTCAGTTATTAGACACCAGGTGTCAGTCAGTAAGCACCAGGTGTCAGTTAGTAGGCACCAAATGTCCGTCAGTAGACACCAGGGGTCAGTCAGTAGACACATGGTGTCAGGCACTAGACATGAGGAAGTAGTCACCAGGGACCAGGGAGGAGACACCAGGTGTCAGGGAGGAGACACCAGGGGTCAGTCTGTAGTCACCAGGGACCAGGGAGGAGACACCAGGTGTCAGGGAGGAAACACAAGGGGTCAGTCAGTAGGCACCAGGGAGGAGACACCAGGTGTCAGGGAGGAGACACCAGGGGTCAATCTGTAGTCACCAGGGACCAGGGAGGAGACACCAGGTGTTAGGGAGGAGACACCAGGGGTCAGTCTGTAGTCACCAGGGATCGGGGAGGAGACACCAGGGGTCAGTCTGTAGACACGAGGGGTGAGGGAAGAAACACCAGGGGTCAGTCAGTAGGCACCAAATGTCAGTTAGAAGACACCAGGTGTCAGTCAGTAGGCACCAGGTGTCAGTCAGTAGGCACCAAATGTCAGTTAGTAGGCACCAAATGTCCGTCAGTAGACACAAGGGGTCATTCACTAGACACCAGGGGTCAGTCAGTAGACACCAGGGGTCAGTCAGTATGCACCAGGGGTCAGGGAGGAGACACCAGGGGTCAGTCAGTATGCACCAGGGGTCAGTCAGTAGACACCAGGGGTCAGTAGACACAAGGGGTCAGTCAGTAGACACCAGGGGTCAGTCAGTAGACACAAGGGGTCAGTCAGTATGCACCAGGGGTCAGGGAGGAGACATCAGGGGTCAGTCAGTAGTAGTCAGTCAACCCTAACTTAACCAAATGTCAGTCAGTAGTCACCAAATGTCAGTTAGTAGGCACCAAATGTCCGTCAGTAGACACCAGAGGTCAGTCACTAGGCACCAGGTGTCCGTCAGTAGGCACCAAATGTCAGTCAGTAGGCACCAAATGTCAGTCAGTAGGCACCAAATGTCATTTAGAAGACACCAGGTGTCAGTGAGTAGGCACCAAATGTCCGTCAGTAGACACCAGGGGTCAGTCAGTAGACACATGGTGTCAGGCAGTAGACATGAGGAAGTAGACACAAGGGGTCATTCACTAGACACCAGGGGTCAGGGAGGAGACACCAGGGGTCAGTCAGTAACAGAGGTCAGATGTTAGAACCTAAAGCTGTGTTATACAGCAGGCACGGGGGTTGAGAAGGATCATATATATATCAGGTGTATTCTGTAGGGGTCAGAACTAGAGAGGAGACAGTAGATTCTACAGGTTTGGTTGCTGGGGTGGGGGGGGATTTTCTTCTCATGACATATTTTCATGAAAAAAACTATGCATTGGTACTTTCATTTGTAGTGCAGGGTCTTTAAAACTGAATGTTTCTTGGCATTTGTGTCCGATACCTGAAACATTTTCCTTCTCTGCAGGAGAGTGTACTGGCCTGCCCTCACAACAATGGCAGCTGAGTGACATGAAATGGAAGAACTAGTGCATTGTGGGATACACATACGACAGTTGGCTGACTGTCGGGATGTTTGTCAGATCTCAGGAGTTTCTGTTGTAACATATAGAGATATATATATATCACTCTGCCATCCAGGGAGATACAGTCCTACAGCCAGCCTCTTCTGGGCGTGTGTGTGAAAGTGTGTGACCCAGCTGAAGGTCGACCAGCGGTTTGACTTCAAACAGAGCAAGGAATCTGTTTCCCTGTCCTTGATGTGACCTACAGATAAGGTCAGAGCAGCTATAGGGACCACTAGCACCTCTCTGTTTATAATGTGACTGTAGCCAACAAAGGACCTGAATACCTCGCGACTGTGCTGCTCATAGACTTGGTAGATGCAGACTGAGGCCACCATTTGCTTCAAGGGGAGCTGGACAGTGCTGGAAGCGAACTCTCATACGTTTTCTACATGGAGGACTGCGGACATGTTGACATTTGTTTCTGTCATCATGATTTCATTACAGCTATAAACGTTGGGGACGTATTGCCATATTAACTTGGGACATATTGCCATGGAAACTGGGGACATATTGCCATGGCAACATCGGGACGTATTGCCATGGACGCTGGGGACATATTGCCATGGTAGCATAGAGACATATTGCCGTGGACATTAGCGCCTATTGCCATGGGCACTTTGGACATATTGCCATGGACGCTGGGGACATGTTGCCATGGTAACATTGAGACATATTGCCATGGACATTAGCGCCTATTGCCATGGGCACTGGAGACATATTGCCATGGACGCTGGGGACATGTTGCCATGGTAACATTGAGACATATTGCCATGGACATTAGCGCCTATTGCCATGGGCACTGGAGACATATTGCCATGGACGCTGGGGAGATTGAGTCAGAGAGATGTTAATGAGTGATGATGCATATACAGAAGAAATCTCTACCCTATTTTATATCCTCTTTGTATATTTGGATTTTATTGTATAATCTGATAACTGGATGAAATTGTATAATCATCTCATCCCATTGTATGAATATTTCTTTGTTGTTTATCAGATGTTTATGATTGTGTGAGAGATGCTGAGAATAATTCTTGACCTTATGAAGATGTTACTTCTTTTAGCTTTAGGTGGTTGTGTAATATGTTTCATTTTAGCAGCTGCCACATGGGCTTCACCCTGCCATCTTCCATGTGGCTTAACCGATCAGCTGCCACATGGACTTCACCCTGCCATCTTCCATGTGGCTTAACCGATCAGCTGCCACATGGGCTTCACCCTGCCATCTTCCATGTGGCTTAACCGATCAGCTGCCACATGGGCTTCACCCTGCCATCTTCCATGTGGCTTAACCGATCAGCTGCCACATGGGCTTCACCCTGCCATCTTCCATGTGGCTTAACCGATGTATGGCTTTTAGACTGACACATGGACAACAGCAGTGTACCCTGACTGCTGTCACAGTGCTGAACATTTGCGTGTACCCATGAGCCAGACACCATGAAAGCTGTCACAGTGCTGAACATATGTGTGTACCCAAGGAACCAGACACCATGACAGCTGTCACAGTGCTGAACATATGCATGTACCCATGAGCCAGACACCATGACAGCTGTCACAGTGCTGAACATATGCATGTACCCATGAGCCAGACACTATGATAGCTGTGACATTGCCAAACATATGCATGCATATTCTGGGTTAGGATGCATAGACAGAAGACAGCCGGGGAGATATCCTGTTAGGATGCGTAGACATAAGGCAGCCAGGGGAGATATGCTGTAAGGATGCGTAGACAGAAGGCAGCAGGGGAGATATGCTGTAAGGATGCGTAGACAGAAGGCAGCTGGGGAGAAATGCTGTTAGGATGCGTAGACAGGAGGCAGGAGGTGAGATATCCTGTTAGGATGCGTAGACAGAAGGCAGCCAGGGAGATATGCTGTAAGGATGCATAGACAGAAGGCAGCAGGGGAGATATGCTGTAAGGATGCGTAGACAGAAGGCAGCTGGGGAGAAATGCTGTAAGGATGCGTAGACAGGAGGCAGGAGGTGAGATATCCTGTTAGGATGCGTAGGCAGGAGGTGAGATATCCTGTTAGGATGCGTAGACAGAAGGCAGCCAGGGAGATATGCTGAGGCAGCTGTGGTTGTGCCAGCAGTCCTATGATGTGTTATTGGGTGGGCTTCCTTGGTTTCTCTGTTGTCAACCGTCTCAGGCTTCACTATCCTGGTTGTCATTACATGGATTGTAATACAGGGTAAACATTCTTGTCATTATTTATCACAGATTTGCTTTATTTCACATGTAAGGGTGGAGCATGGATCACCTCTGCAGGGTGTCTCACTAGCTGCTGATCAAGACATGTGGATGTCTAATCTGGTTCTTAGGTCGACCTGCTAGCGCTCACTATTTGGTTGAGGTCATCTTCCATGCACCAGCTGTCTGGTGAAGGTCGACTTACATGCAATCGGTGTCTCATGCATGCACTCACTGTCTGATGGAGGTCGACCTGCATACACTCACTTTCTGATGGAGGTCGACCTGCATACACTCACTGTCTGATGGAGGTCGACCTGCATACACTCACTGTCTGGTCAACCTACATACACTCACTGTCTGATGGAGGTCGACCTGCATGCACTCACTGTCTGTTGGAGGTTGACATGCATTCACTCACTGTCCGGTGAAGGTCGACCTGCATGCACTTGGTGTCTAGTGGAGGTCGACCTGCATGCACTTGGTGTCTAGTGGAGGTCGACCTGCATGCACTTGGTGTCTAGTGGAGGTCGACCTGCATGCACTTGGTGTCAAGTGGAGGTTGACCTGCATGCAATCGGTGTCTAGTGGAGGTCGACCTGCATGCACTTGGTGTCTAGTGGAGGTCGACCTGCATGCATTCGGTGTCTAGTGGAGGTCGACCTGCATGCACTTGGTGTCTAGTGGAGGTCGACCTGCATGCAATCGGTGTCTAGTGGAGGTCGACCTGCATGCACTCGGTGTCTAGTGGAGGTCGACCTGCATGCACTCGGTGTCTAGTGGAGGTTGACCTGCATGCACCAAATGTCTGTGGAGGTCGACTGTGGTCAGTTTGTGGAACATGGTGGAGGTGGGTCGATGTTCCTACGGAGGTCGCCCTGTACAAGGACCTGGGTGGGTGACCTGCAGTTGCTGCTGTGACAGCCAGGGGTAGGATACTGCTTAGCAACTGTTGCTATGTATAATTATTTATTCTATTGACAAGTAGGTACAGTTTTATATGGAGATAGGATATGGTTTTCTATAAAATTGATAATGTATAGGATATATGTTTTGCTTGTGTTTCATATGTTTAACTCATGTTGGTATTTATACGTGTGTTGATTGTTCACTGATTTTATGACAGACACATATGTACAAAGACAACATTGTATACAAACATGACATTTATAGAAAACTGTACATATGACATGTTGCTTGTACACACATGTTGTTATTAAGCTTTGTGAATATGAGTAGAGATCATGTTTCTGACATCACTTCATGTGGCTGTCCCAGACTGGGTTCTGCAGTTCACGTCATGCTGCAGGACAGATGCTGATGCTGCCGTTTCTACCATTATCCGACATCCTGATGCTTCTAATGTTGCTTGTTAAGGACTTGATTTCTTGCTGTGTCTGCTCTTGAGTTGTCGGTTTGTTGTTTTACGCCTCACTCAGCAATATTCCAGCTATATGACGGCGGTCTGTAAATAATACAATCTGGACCAGACAATCCAGTGATTGATATCATGTGCATCGATCCACGCAATTGGGATACGATGACATGCATCAACCAAGTCAGCAAGCCTGACCACCCGATTCAGTTAGTCGCCTCTTACGACAAGCATAGTCCCCTTTTATGGCAAGCATTGGTTGCTGAAGACCTATTCTAACTTGTATCTTCACGGGTCTGCTTGTTAACAAGTAAAAAAGACTTGATTTCTTGCCGTCTCTGCTCTTGAAAAAGTCAAGCACTAAGTATGCCTTTGAGGTTATGAAAGAGATGAACGTTTTAGTGGTTTGTGAAGTTTTAGAATTTTTAGAATTTTTTCACTACTGTCAGCTTATTTATGTAGTCAAATGTTGAGTGAGACTGACAGGTTGAAGAAACATGCTGATTGAAGCTTTGTTTTTGTTGGATGATGCATTGAAAGTGATTGATTTATTGTTTTGTAGTAGCAAAATCAAATGGTTATTCCTCCAAACATAATCTGGTAGTGAGATGAAGTATTCTTGGTTCACAGGCATGTCCCCAGTTTAAAAAACTAAATATATGCTTGTATTACTAAAACAATTTTTGAAAAGGTGACACTTCCTTATTTTTCTAAAGACAGCCTGTAATCCAACTGGGCTTCTTTTCTTAATAAACCTGATCACTTGTCACAAGATTATTGTAGGTCTTTGTGTGTGTCTTTGGATTTCTATAAAATCTTGTTAGCTCTATGATTTGTGTGTACATTCTGGAGTATCATCACTGTTTGTGATTCCAGAGGTACCGTCACTATGGTAAGAGTCGCCTCTATGATTTGTGTGGACATTCTGGAGTATCATCACTGTTTGTGATTCCAGAGGTACCGTCACTATGGTAAGAGTCGCCTCTATGATTTGTGTGGACATTCTGGAGTATCATCACTGTTTGTGATTCCAGAGGTACCGTCACTATGGTAAGAGTCGCCTCTATGATTTGTGTGGACATTCTGGAGTATCATCACTGTTTGTGATTCCAGAGGTACCGTCACTATGGTAAGAGTCGCCTCTATGATTTGTGTGGACATTCTGGAGTATCATCACTGTTTGTGATTCCAGAGGTACCGTCACTATGGTAAGAGTCGCCTCTATGATTTGTGTGGACATTCTGGAGTATCATCACTGTTTGTGATTCCAGAGGTACCGTCACTATGGTAAGAGTCGCCTCTATGATTTGTGTGGACATTCTGGAGTATCATCACTGTTTGTGATTCCAGAGGTACCGTCACTATGGTAAGAGTCGCCTCTATGATTTGTGTGGACATTCTGGAGTATCATCACTGTTTGTGATTCCAGAGGTACCGTCACTATGGTCAGAGTCGCCTCTATGATTTGTGTGGACATTCTGGAGTATCATCACTGTTTGTGATTCCAGAGGTACCGTCACTATGGTAAGAGTCGCCTCTATGATTTGTGTGGACATTCTGGAGTATCATCACTGTTTGTGATTCCAGAGGTACCGTCACTATGGTCAGAGTCGCCTCTATGATTTGTGTGGACATTCTGAAGTATCATCACTGTTTGTGATTCCAGAGGTACCGTCACTATGGTAAGAGTCGCCTCTATGATTTGTGTGGACATTCTGGAGTATCATCACTGTTTGTGATTCCAGAGGTACCGTCACTATGGTCAGAGTCGCCTCTATGATTTGTGTGGACATTCTGGCAGTGTCATCACTGTGATTCCAGAGGTACCGTCACTATGGTCAGAGTCGCCTCTATGATTTGTGTGGACATTCTGGAGTATCATCACTGTTTGTGATTCCAGAGGTACCGTCACTATGGTAAGAGTCGCCTCTATGATTTGTGTGGACATTCTGGAGTATCATCACTGTTTGTGATTCCAGAGGTACCGTCACTATGGTCAGAGTCGCCTCTATGATTTGTGTGGACATTCTGGAGTATCATCACTGTTTGTGATTCCAGAGGTACCGTCACTATGGTAAGAGTCGCCTCTATGATTTGTGTGGACATTCTGGAGTATCATCACTGTTTGTGATTCCAGAGGTACCGTCACTATGGTCAGAGTCACCTCTATGATTTGTGTGGACATTCTGGCAGTGTCATCACTGTGATTCCAGAGGTACCGTCACTATGGTCAGAGTCGCCTCTATGATTTGTGTGGACATTCTGGCAGTGTCATCACTGTGATTCCAGAGGTACCGTCACTATGGTCAGAGTCGCCTCTATGATTTGTGTGGACATTCTGGCAGTGTCATCACTGTGATTCCAGAGGTACCGTCACTATGGTAAGAGTCGCCTCTATGATTTGTGTGTTTTCATTCTGGAGTATCATCACTGTTTGTGATTCCAGAGGTACCGTCACTATGGTAAGAGTCGCCTCTATGATTTGTGTGGACATTCTGGAGTATCATCACTGTTTGTGATTCCAGAGGTACCGTCACTATGGTCAGAGTCACCTCTATGATTTGTGTGGACATTCTGGCAGTGTCATCACTGTGATTCCAGAGGTACCGTCACTATGGTCAGAGTCGCCTCTATGATTTGTGTGGACATTCTGGCAGTGTCATCACTGTGATTCCAGAGGTACCGTCACTATGGTCAGAGTCACCTCTATGATTTGTGTGGACATTCTGGAGTATCATCACTGTGATTCCAGAGGTACCGTCACTATGGTCAGAGTCGCCTCTGTGATTTTTGTGCAAGATTCTGGCAGTGTCATCACTGTGATTCCAGAGGTACCGTCACTATGGTCAGAGTCGCCTCTGTGATTTTTGTGCAAGATTCTGGCAGTGTCATCACTCTGATTCCAGAGGTACCGTCACTATGGTAACACAGGGTCACAGTCAGGCCCTAGTTTATCATTGTGTTGCCAGTTTGTAGCAATGTTTACAGGTGCTTGTTGCAGATAGCATGTTTGTAAGTATGTAGTAGGACATGTTTTGTATGTTTGTGTGATATCAACATTTGAAGTAAGTGTTTGGACACATTTGAGATAACACTAATTGTTTTCAGATTACGGGTCAAAATGAATTTTCAGCGCTCAGACATCTCATTTGGAAAACGATGTGAAATATTGCCCTGCCTAAAAACATTTTGTTAAATTTTGTTACTTAAAACAATTGTTCAATCATGGTGAAATTCTGTTCAGTTGTTAAATTCATGATTTGTTTCTTAACTAAACAGTTTGCAACACATAGTCAAAGTACTTTTTTAAGGGAAATGAGAAATGATTTTATGGGACAATAGGTCTCATGTTGGTGAAATGGGTTTTATGTAGTCATCTGTTGATGGGATTGATGTGATAGAAATAAGAATGCTGTACGAGAATGGAATCATACTTGCTTGGACTATAGGCCGTAGCTTTCCCTGTGACTCTAGTGAAACAAGTCAGGGTTATGTTATTTTGCTTTCTCTGTTATCCTTGAGAAAATCAAATGATGAACTGATCAACCCTGAATTCATAATAAGCCCAATCCAAACACTAGTTGGACTATGCCATTATGTGGTTAGAGGGGTGTGAAATCCTGGATCCTGATCTCCTGTCACATTGTTTGACAGCAAAATTGAAAAAGAAATGTTTTAGTTTCTGTTGGAAGTTCCAATTACACCATACTGTCCATGTACATTGCTAGACACACTTGAATGTGACATGCCCCTTGAACAGAGACCTTGACCCTTGAGGGAACAGGAAGTAGGAAATCCCTTTCAATTGTGACCTTGTGGATTGAAGTAGTTCTGTGAGATACAGTTTGTTTCCTTTAGACTACACTGAAGTGATGTGACAATATAACACAGGTCATGCAAAAGGCCAGCAAGCTCTTGACTAAATATTCTCACAATGAATCACTATGGATGGTAGTTATTTACAATTCCAGTGTGGTTGGTGCTGCCGTGATAGTGCAATGTCGGATGATGTACGGACACCCGTATGTAGACTGCTCACACAATCTGGTGCATACTTATGTTGAATAAGCAAGATGGTTGCATTAAAAGTGTCACTCATCTTCATTTTGTTTCGTCTGACCAGGGTGTCATTTATGTTCTTGTTTTGGTAAGGCTTTTCAATCTCTTGTCATGGTCACAAATAATGGCTCTGGCTCTTCATATTTTGTATTTTGTTTTTATCAAACTCCACTACTTCAGGATCTACTACACCAGGTGATGTCTCCAAGCAGATGTCTTTCAATGTCCATTTCTTCTTCCCCCTTTAATGTCCACTGTTTCTCGTCTCCCTTCTCCCCCTCCTCCCCTGCTTAATTAGGGCTGGCTATCAATATAGATTATAGAGGTCTATAATCGCTAAATATCGATCAATTATCAATAAATATCAGAGAAGTAACTTTAAGCAAATATGCATGAAAGTCCCGAAAGAAATCAATATATTTCACACCACTGGTGAGCAGTTACGCATTTATGCATAGATTACTTTAATTTGTGGCTATTTGAGATATATCAAAAACAGTTGCTTTCCGTCTTTGACAAGTGGCATCGACAATAACAAGCATGTATCCATAAATCTAAACTTTATTTCATCACAATAGTTCATGTAAGTTATTATTGATGACAACAATTTCATATCGATAATCGTTAATATTTCTTCCCATCAGCGATAATTCCGATTATCGTTCTTTTTAGATAGCCCTACGCTTGTTGGTATGATTGTTATTGGTGATTACCGATATGATTTCTTGATCTCCTGTGGACCAAGCAGCCACAGTGGACATGCATAGGCCATATTTTCAATACGCCTTAAGAATAATGGATATTCTCTAACCACTAGTCTGTGTGTCTTGTCCATTGAAGACTAGGTACAAGTTTGTCATCCTTCGAAGACTTTCATTTATGGTTGCCTTGCCCACAAGCTTGTCTGCCCCTTGCATTGAGTCTGTCATGTACTTGTGTGACCAACCTGAATATATATGCTTCAAAACAATCAAATAAAAATACCATGATATCTTATGCATGTTCTGTTGTTTGTTTGTTGTTTAAGGCCACACTCAGCAACATCCCAGCTATATGACTGTGGTCTGTAAATAATCAAGTCTGCACCACACATTCCAGTGATTGACATCATGAGCATCGATCTATGCAATTGGAATACGATTACATGCATCAACCAAGTCAGCGAGGTGGACCACCCGATCCCTGACATCTAAGGCAATGCCATTCTGTGTTCAGAGCTCTGTCCCCTAGGCTTACTCACAAAGTTCAGATTGAGGGTTCAAATCTCAGATTTGCCCTGATTGTTTTGAGATTTGTCAGCATCATACTTGTGCTCATGGGTTTGTCCAAAGTGGTGAACATCTAAGACCTGCGTCACTGGGATGCTGACACCCCATGATATGCCAGGGGCACCTGATAAGCTGTTCATTGGGGCGTTTAACCAAACACACTCCTCAATGTACTGGGTCCAACATTCAGCCTGGAAAGTTTTGTGTTTGTTCGTTTTTCACTCATCTGGACCAACAGTGCATGAGTGACCTACAAAACGTAACAACTTAACCGGTGGGTTTCACAATAGTGGCAGATCATCAGCATTTCTTTTGGCTGCCCTCCCACAAATAACCAACACCCTGATAGAAGCACAAACATACTGGGTAATATATGTACAGCCAACTATTCACCATAACCAACACCCAGATAGAAGCACCAACATACTGGGTAATATATGTACAACCAACTATTCACCATAACCAACACCCTGAAAAAAGCACCAACATACTGGGTAATATATGTACAGCCAACTATTCACCATAACCAACACCCTGATAGAAGCACCAACATACTGGGTAATATATGCACAGCCAACTATTCACCATAACCAACACCCTGATGGAAGCACCAACATACTGGGTAATATATGTACAGCCAACTATTCACCATAACCAACACCCTGATGGAAGCACCAACATACTGGGTAATATATGTACAGCCAACTATTCACCATAACCAACACCCTGATGGAAGCACCAACATACTGGGTAATATAATTATGTACAGCCAACTATTCACCATAACCAACACCCTGATGGAAGCACCAACATACTGGGTAATATATGTACAGCCAACTATTCACCATAACCAACGACCTGATGGAAGCACCAACATACTGGGTAATAAATACTCAACATGTTCAAAAGATTCAAACGTTCCTGAGACACGATATTAAACAAGAACCTGATGAAAGCAGACACACAGAAAGATGCAAGAACAGAATTGTCAATTCACACGTCAGTAGCGTGTGTCCCCCTCTCGCTTGGATGTATGCAATGTATCTCCTTCACATTGAACGGATCAAACGTGTAACACAGTATCGTGGGATGGCATCCCATATGTCAGTCTGTTTCTCCGTTCCTGTACTGTTGTCTTGTTACTTGGTAATACATACCGACCGCTAAAGAAACGTCACCATGGATAGATATATGAGAAACCTTATTTGTCCAAACACTGTAAACATAACTGAGACTTATTAAGAAGATGAAACTTGGCAAAACTGATCATCAAGGTTGTAATTCAAGTGTCCTAAAGTGAAACACTAGTCTCTGGTAAAATGGCATCACAAGTCAGTATCTCGTGTGTCCGCCATGTGCATTGATGACTGCCATGCAACGTCGATACATGGAATGGATGAGGCGGTTGATGAAGGCCATAGGCACTTGAGCCCAAACTCTGAGGAACGCCTGACGCAGTTCAGCTGCAGTTGTCGGCCTTGTTCGGGCGTCATTCAGCAGTCTTTGAATCTTGTCCCACAGGTGCTCAATGGGATTTAAATCAGAACTGAGGGCAGGCCACTGCATGGTTCTGATGCCATTCTGCTGGAGGAAGTCTCTTGTTGCTTGTTGCAGTGTGGGCACGGGCGTTATTATGCTGAAACTCTTGGTTGCGTCGACGAGCCAAATGAGGTATGGTGTGTGGTCTCAAGATTTGATCAATGTACCGAGCTGCTGTGACACCATTGCCTCTCCCTGGACCGATGTTCTGGAAGACCACAGGGCCGACCCTCTGTGCAAGACCAATTCCACCCCACACCATGATGCTATGACCACCCCAGGAGTCTCTCTCAACAACACAAGCATCCGAATAACGTTCCCAACGGCGTCGCCAGACTCTCTCTCTCTGCCCTCTGCTGTTGGGATACAGTAAAGGCTCTCGTCTGAGAAGAGGACTCTTCTCCACTGCTGGTGGCGCCAATACTTGTGCTGTGTTGCCCACTGAAGACGGTCCCGGCGATGACGTGCTGTCAGAATGGATCCTCGGTGTGGCCTGTGACAGTGGAGGTGTCTGCTCGTCAATCGTCGACGCACGGTGTCCG